GCCCACCGGCTCGTCTGCCCACCTTTTCCCGTCGAACCCGCAGACCTCGCCGCTTGTTGCTGCCCCAGTCCCCACTACCCTACGGTACCCGATGTTTGGTTGGTTGTAAGTGATTCCGGGCGCGTTAACTACCGATGTCATTCGACCCGTTATTGTAGTGCTTGTTTTTCTTGGAAGGTGGCTGTTTTTCCCCGGATTGGATGGTGAGATCCGGCGCCGACCATCCGTCGGCTAGTGGTGTTTCAATCAATCAGGTATCTCTCACCAGTGGGGGAATCGGGGGACCAGCTCTAAGCTCTAGACCGGTCTCCCGGACTGTGCGGTAGTGTAGTGCATGTGTAGTGCATAAGTGTGCAAAAGTAAAGGGGGGTAGAAGGAAGAGGAAGGATAGATTATCCGAGGCCCATTTTTTACGGTACTGTGTCGGCATTCGCCTGGTGTTTATCTCAGAAATCAAAGAAAATTATCGATAAGATTTGCCGACCGCTAGAATTCTCTTTCAGACAAGGACTTAATTCGACCTCGCTGAGAAGCTAGTTGTTGAAAATGCTACCAATGTCGGGAGTAGAACCTAGAAGCTCCGACTCAGAGACACTACAGTGACATCAGTTCAAGCCCAGAGCCACCTCTCTCGGTACCTACGGTATCAGACTTACGGCGCGTTTCCTCCCACGCTAACCCGAGTGTGTGTTTCTTGTGTTGCAGGGGAGGAGCCGGCCGCGATGCAGCACGGCAGCAAGAGCAGCGCGTCTTCGGCGTCGTGCGTGCGCGCGGGGGCGTGGCTGAGGGCGCTGGCGGCGGCGGCGACGATGGCGGCAATGGTGGGGGCGGGGTCGAGGGCGACCCGCCGGGCCGCGTTCGCCGGCAGGTGACGTTAGGCGCCGTCACTCCCCGCGTGGTCTTCCTGCACGTCCGCCGCCGCGGCCCCGCCTCCGCCGCTGCCGCCCCCGACAGCGAGGACGCTTTAAGCATCATCCACACGCTGCATGCGATTGGTTGCGAGCGTTGTTGCCGTTGGTGGTTACGCCGCCGCCGCGCCGCCGCGACCGCCCGCGTTTCAGTGTGCATGCTCCAAGTATACTACACACGTTGCAGCCAGTCGCGTGCGACACTTGCCATAAGGGCCGGTGTCACCGCCACCGCCGCCGCCGTCGGGATGTCATTACTACCTGCTTTTGCATGGGCGTGGTCCCAAGGATCCTACACACGTTGCAACCGGTTGCATGCGACAGCTGTGCTGTCACTATCAGTATACCGCGGACTTTCGATTTCAGAGGAGCATTATTGCTTTCAACAACTGACACAAGCTGCAAGCGATAGCGTGTGGCGGTCCTGTTAGGAGTTTGTATCGCGGACGTTACCTCTCTACACACACGGCTAGGAATGTCCGAACTGCGCGGTGCTTTTTGATAAATCCTGACTAGTCAGGCACCGCGGAGTGCAACAAGCCCAACATGCGTTGCAATCGTTTGCATTACACTAGTCTCAAAGAACGTCGCTGTCGCAGCGTCGCGGTCTGTCGACTCACGGAGCAATTGTTCAACGACTCCCCGTTGTGTGTTCCTTGCCGCCCAGGGAGCCCTGTCGTCCGCAACGTACAATAAGCACAGCGACGCAATCGTCTTTTATCAGTCGGCAGTGGCATGCAACCGGGTGAAGCGTATGCACCCCTTTCCACCCACCCACGCAGTGGGTCGATTTCGCACCAATTTATTTTTTTGTAACAAAAGCAGTAATCCGTAAATAACTTGACGGCCGGCCGGCCGAGCGACAAGCCACACCTTCCAGCTTCCCATCTCCAAAATCCGCAAAGAGCGGCTTGGCGGGCGCGGCGGCGCGGGGGCGGTACGGCCTAAGGCGACGCCGGTCGCGACGGTGTCGCCCGCCGAGTGGTTCGTGCCGCTGGAGACGCTTCACAGGATTTGAGGAACGTGGTTGACTCTCGTGGAAGGGAAGAGGCGACCGCGGCTACGGCAGCCACACTCACCCCACACCCCCACCGACAGAACGTGGGGGAAGAGTTTCGACGCGTTCTCAGTGACCCAGTGTGTGAGTGTGTGTGTTTAGAAGCAACTAGACTTCGAACGTGCCGGGAACACAGTTGCGGCGAGAACGGCAAACCGACTCTTCAGCTCTATTTACCCTCCCCAACCCGTAATTTTCCTGTTTAAGTGTGCGGTGTTAACGTGTGGTGCTGATTGGCTGAAAGAACTCGTAAATTCTCCTCGAAAAAGTGGAGGCACAAGATATCGTTGCTTTTGTCATGTGAATTTAACTATGGAGTGGGAAGGGCATAGGTTATTCTTGCTTGATCCATTTTGGTAAAGTAACACGAAGGCGTTACATTGTGGATAACAAGAACATCATACGACTAGAATCACATTTAGTTTACTTGTTAAATACATGTTAAGTTTTTTTGTCCAAATATAACAATATAAAACGATCTGAGGAGTGATCAAAATAATTTTCATTTGTGTTACTTTGCAACATGAAATTGTTTGCCACTACCCTATAAATTTCCATGCAAGATTGTTTCGAAATATGGAATGTTATTAATTAATTTCGAATACATCAATTATTTTATCGCAGTTTTACCTTCACGAATGCCGGAGATATTACTACATGTGCCGTGTTAATGGCAGGGCAAGTGGCAAAGTTTTGCAACTCTAGTTGACCTACCAAGCACTCCCTGCACTTCTGAACTAACATAATTAGCTTTCTGATTTGTCAACAGATACTGGTATTCTCTCAACTAATAAAAGGTAGTATGAGAGATAGATTGTATCAAATAATAAAAAATTGGACGTTTCTGTTCCTTGACTTTAACTCGATTAAGAGTAATGACTGATGGAGGATCAGCTACAACGGTAACTAAGATTATTCCTGGGTATACAAAATCGGACGGAAAATATTGTCTGATAATCCACACAAGAAAGTGATATAAAACACAAAATTATATTGCAGAGTGCATTTTATATATTTAACTGATAACAGAGGACATCACTGAAGAAATTACTAACAATTTATGCATTCAACGCGTATTTGGATTTACAATTCCTTAAGTTATTTCCGTACACGTCGATAAATATACAAATAAAACATCCAAACTACTATGTTTGCATTTCTGTGATGGACTGTAGTAGCTTAGCAACGCAAATAAAACTTGGAAAATATCGTCACAATCATCCCGTTTTTTCTAGTATTTCTAATGTTTTAGTTCTGGTAGATAACTTTGGAGAAACGTGCGCATTTGTAATTATTTTTAATTACTTTTATGTTAGCTAATTTGAAATGCGAATGTGACTTTCCTAGTATAGTCTTCATAAGAAAATTAACTCATAAAATAATTGTGTGCATAGAATTTTTAAGTTAAATTATTTTGTTAAATACATGTGAAAATGGAAATGTTATGATAAGGAAATTTTCGCAAAAAATACGAAACTGCCGTGGTTATGTATGTTTTGTTTTGAAATTGCCCAACGTACTAAGGGACATTGTCATTTCGGATGTTGCAGATGTGAATTAAAATTAAATTTTAATGGAAAAGAGAAAAGTAGATTTGCTATTTGCAAAACAACTGTGATTGATAGCTCTTCTACTGCATACACGTTATTACATAAATTGAGTGCAATGCAGTTCATCTGGTTAATTCAAGGTGATAGGACTTTGGAAGGTTTATATTTCATCAAAATCTATGTACTATCTTTGTTCTAAATGAAAAGGTCCATTGTAATTTGGTCAAGAATGAACAGATAACAGCCTACGTATTATTCTGCATGCTTTCGGCAGGTTTGGTTTGGTTTGGTTAAAACTGGTACTTACTTTACTTACTGGTACTTACTTTGGTACAGGTTTGGTTAAAACTGTAAAAGCAAATATTATTATCTCAACTAAATCTTCTTCAGACGTTAACTCCATTCACTTCATGGGAAAGAAATGCTGTGCTTACACTAATTTCACAGTTACATACCGATGTCATTTTGATACCGAGACAAAATCAATGGTGAGGACCTGAGAAAGATTTGAAATTTAAAGGGAAGTAAATTTTAAAGTATTTCGAAACTTATTCTACAATTATTTTGCAATATTTTACCATCATTTTCTACAAATTGTGTATTAAAATATTTTCAGCTTTTACAGAAGGGCAAGATCATATCTATATTTTCATTACTTGTGGACCCTTATGCAGGTAACAGATGGCCACGTCTTTTTTTAAACTGGTTTCGGTATTCACAATGTTACTTCAATTCCTCAACTAGTATCTTCATCGACAGAAACTAAAATACAGTTGCAACGCAAGGTGTGGCTGTCAACTAACGCCGACGTTTCCACAAGGGTTCTGGTTTTTGTTACTTTCTAAACATTACATAAGCGTTGAAAGACAAAACTCTACTTAGCATTTCGAAAGTTTCTAGTAAGAAAAGACCTAAATGATGAAACAGTATCTCCTTTCCTAAACGAAGATAGAGAAGAAGAGCTACCTTTTTAAAAATAAACTTCTAGAAAACTCAATACATTCTACTAAATGCAATAATAACACAATGGATAGTATTTCTGAAATAAAACATTACGAATGAAACTGCTGCGGGGCTTGTTCAAGCCTCATTCATTAACAAATCGCAAAAAGATCAGTCTAATAAAATTTCATCTCATATTTCAGAATAATGTTTTGTTTATCGATCTGTCGTCCGAAGGAAAACACTCAAATTAAATTTCACAATAGTCTTCTTGCCATAATGTTCACGGTGTTATTTTTAGTCTGTCCTGTACTAGTGGAATGCATTACCTTCTTTCCAAGCCACAAAAGCTCGAATGTAATACCGCGAGAACAAGTGCAGGACGTGTAGGATGGCCCTCCAGTCTCACTGACCGGGAGGTCCTAGGTTCGAGTCCCGATGGTGGTAGGATTTTCGGCACTAGCTTGCCAGCTAGGTTGAATTCAGTCGCTATCTGGAGGATAATTCTAGCGGCCGACTACTCCGATCGATAGCTTTCCGTGGTTTCTCCTATCAACACTAGGCAAATTCCAAAGCAGTTCCCTAACAAACGGGCTACTAACCGCGCACAATATTTCCTTTCTCATCCTTGTTCTATTCTCACACCTTCCTTAGACCCACTCACTCTTACATGTACTACACTACCACACCGGGAGACCAGTTGGGAGTTTAAAACTGATCTCGAATGGAGTGGTGTCTCGCTGGTGGGAGATACCTTTGTAGGAAAACCCCAGTCAGCCGTCTTTAGATCTCACCATCCAACGGACACAGCCTATTAAAAAAAATACCACACTTACGGGAATATCGCCTAAGTATTTGACCAGCAATCGCTAACAATAAATCAATGAATCGAATGTAATTCCCGCAACTGCATCGGGGCGAGCGTACGCGGCTGACGCGGGCCGCCTGCGGGGTCCGCTTTAACAGCATCGATCACCCGGCGGGGGGGCGGCGCGGGGGCGGCGCGGGCGAGCGCCGACCTGAATGATATTTGTTGCACCCCCCTTTGTGCGCGCTGGCCGACCGCCGCGTGAAGGTCTGCAGTATTCGAATATTGTGCGGCCGCTCTGAAACGCGCGACGAACCGCCCGAGGGCGCCTCGTGGGCTGGCCGGTGAATTGCTTCCCGCCAAATGTGCACACGCGTCCTACCGCCACCCTATTAGTCGCGTCCCGCTGCCGTCCGCGGTCCGTGTCGTTTTGTTCGGTCCTGCAGCCGCCGCCGCCGCCGCTTCCTCCGCCTCCTATTCGTCGCTCCACGCGTCCGTGTTCGTTGGGCCTCGTGCGTTACACCGCGCCACACCCACGTGACCGTTCCGTTGCCAGCCTCTCGCTTCGCCCTGCCTAGCCTAGGCTTCAATTGTCGGTTCCGATGTGCCTCTCGAGTTTGGTCCCATCTCAGCAATCTGCAATCGGATCTACTCAACCGATCCGTCTTAAATGATCTGTCGAAATCGACTAGCAATCTTGGCCCCGCGCTCACCATCAGACAAACTGCCTTATTGCACCATCTCCATAACCTTGCCTCATCGATACTTTATTCCAGTGCAACCACCCTACCCAACTCATTCCGCTATATACCCCAACCAGTATCTCTGCCAGTAGCAGCTATTTCATCTAGTTCATGTATTTTATCTAGCCTAGGCGTGGCTCCGATGTGCTTCTCGAGTTTGGTCCCATCTCAGCAATCTGCAATCGGATCTTCTCAACCGATTTGTTCTTAATGATCTGTCGAAATCGACCAACAATCTTGGCCCCGCGCTCACCGTCCCATTTTAGACAAACTGCCTCATTTCGTCATTTCCGTAACCCCGCCTCATCGGTACTTCGTTCACTCCAGAGTTAACCACTCCCACCACCTCATTCCGTTATGTAACCCAACCAGCCTCTCTGCCAGTAGTGGCTATTTCATCTTGCACGTTCTGCCCATTCACATTTTTTGCTTCCCCTCGATTCCCCCCTCGCGATTTCTCGCCGCGCGTCTCTCCGCTCGCCCGCAAACAGGCCCCGCTGAGTCGAAATGGCGATGAAAGCGCGATGGAATAGTTCCGGCGGCACGCATGCCAACTGCCGGGCAGAGCGGACGGCGAGCGTTCCAGCTCTTCCCATCTCGCCCACCGGCTTGACGCGGCTCCCTTGGGGAAATATTCACCTGCGCGTATCGGCCGGCCAGTTGACGGCCGCGGTATTCCGTCTCGGTCGAATAGTTTAAATGGCTGGCCGGTCCGTAACTATTATTCCGACCGCGATCCGCAGACGCGCTCTGGAACGGCTCTCGTCTTTCACGCGATTGGTCGGCGCGCGGCCACGGAAAACAAAACACACTCGCCAATTGTGTTCGCCGGCTTTTGTTTCGATGTTCTACTTTAATCCACTAATCATTTTTTCTCATAACAATGAGGCAAAACTAAATGCCATCGCTTGTGTAATACGATCGCGGGAACGCCTCTCGATGCACCAAAATGAACGTTTCAAATAGTATCTGTTCTCGGACATGCAAGGGAACTAATTCTATTTTTCTTGTGACTTTCTGAACGCAAACCGCAACTCGACGAAGTGTTCCATCCGCAGTGTGCATTGCATTATCCGGGATCGTTTTGAAAACAAACGGGAGCCAAAACGGGGTCAGTCACAATGCGAGTCGTTAACACAAGCCTGAGCCACATTGGAAACAAAATATTTCCGATGCGAGGTTTGTTTTTTCGTGCATTGCTGCATTAAAATTCACCCAGTCAAAAGTTTCTAACAATGATATCTGACAGAATGGATTTTATTTTGTGAGCCGCAATTTGTCCTCATTTAACAAAAGTAGGTCATGCTTTTATGTGCAAATAAAATAACAATAATAATAACAACATAATAACGATGTAAATAAAAATAGTTGTGGAGGTAAAATTTAATTCCATTGCATTGCTAGGTTTTTGTTCAGTATTAATTAAATTTTATTTGCAAATTTTAAAACAATGTTAAATGCCAAGCAGTAGTTTTTCCAAATATGGTTCAGTTTAATTGATTACGTTTTGTTTCAAGGAATAAATACACTTCGAAATCAATTGTTCTAGTTGAGATTTGATGATTCCGGCGACACCTTTTTCTGATGATATTATTAATTGAAAAACAATTATAAAGAAAAGAGACCTTATGGTTTATTGCTCTGATAAGAGTATATTTATTATTTACTTGAATGATTAATTCCTAAATATACGCGTTTCTAAGACGAATATAAAATAATACAAAAATTAATATATTACAATTTAAGAATTAAATTCAATATTTTATTTTATGAAAAACCCAACACTTAATTACTTAAAAGCTTAACAAACCGTGTAAGTCTATATACCAAAGATAAGTGTTTCTATCCAGTATCTAAACTATTTTTCATCATTTGTTTTTAATTACGTTAACGATAATTTGCACTCTATCACCTTATTCATTCCTTTATTGAATTCATTTCGTTTACTTTCACACTTCTATGAAAAAATGACCATTCTACAATAAAGAAATTATGAGGTTCCATTTGCACGTGTTCTTAAGATCTACACCTTGAGATAAACATTTGAACTTATTTAAAAACTATCATTGAATAATACCAATATCAGTTCATGATTGTGATAACGTTGAATACCGTTTATTCGTTTTACATTTACTTATTGAATAACAGAGCTGGTAGGAGCACATCTTCAAAGATGAACAACTAGATTTAAGTATCTACTTCTCAATCTGCCCACAAAGCAGTCAGTGAACTACCAACAGTGTGTCAACAGTCTTTGTGTATGAACTGAGGATTGTCACTATGTTTGTGACATTAGAGTCCATCGAATAATGTACGTTATGGGTACACCCTTGAACCTTTTAAATTGTTGAGTTGCATTAAAAATGAATGACAGTCTGCTGGTCAATAAGAAATATTTAGAACTGCAAGATTTATTTCAATCTACAAGGATTGCTGTATCTTTCCTTGTATATAAAAAACATACAAAATCTATAAAACATACTTAACACTCTGCTATTCTTTTTCAAAATAAAACATTAATTATGAAGACACTTGTGATTCTGAAAAGCAGGCGCATGCCATAAAAACATTGTTTCTCACAACATTGATGAGTGCTGATCAAAGTGAATTATTTCGAAGGTTTTAACTGACATTTCTGAATATGTTACGTGAAGGATTTGAATCTTTACATTTAAATTTTGACGTCTAATTCTACGATATTTTAACTGTGATGCTAGTGTTTTTATGAGTAACGTATGAATATATGGGCAAAACGAGACAGTTGAGGGAGACAAGAGAATTATGTTTTAAGTATTTTCTTAAACGGACAACAAATGGCAGTAGTAATTCATTCGTATATTACAGCATTACGTGCTCTTTTCCTGCAAAACGTAGAATTACATTGCATTGCTTTCGAAATACGACATGCACCTGGCAATTGTGGAGCATTAATAAAACCCGAGCTAAGTGCAAAATGTGAAAAATATACCTCTTGTACTGAAAAGCGTGGTGTCAAGCGCAAGGCAGTGTTAAATGGGCGATCTGAAATTTTTATTCTTAG